TTGCATGTTTTGCCTTTTACTGAAAACGGCTAAAATAAATCTTCCTGAGTGAAATATCTATAAGCCACAAGATATCAAAAAAAGCAGATTTTTGCCTATTCTTTTGAGCGAACTGGGTATGGTAAAATATAAATATGAGCTCTGGTTCTAGTTAGTTCAAGCGGAGTCTTGATTTATCATGTAGCTTTTTTGCAAATCTAGCTGTGGGACCCTTTGAGGCTTTGCTTTGGCTGCTGCCACATAGTGTGATTAAAATAAACCTCAATACTTTATAGGAGTTTTGACTTCTGACTCGTCACTTGCCATGCTCGTTTTACTATTCTTCATTTTAGATTTCATTATCGAGACCTGCAGGTACTGATCACTCATTGGACACGCATTAAGTAGGTCTCAAGAATATTAGCAAATCTTGTATTTGTTTTGAGTACGATTCCAAGGCTTTACATGTATCTCGAATAAGAGTTTTATTCGTGGGGATAACGGACTGATAATGACTTTTCCCACAATCAGATGAGTAGGCCTGATGATGCCGGTGAAGTTGACTTAGCCTTTCTCCCAAAAGGTATCTCATTCAGGCTGGAGTAAACTGCAGTTTTGACTTCACCTGACTCTCATCAGCACTTCTAACTAGTCGGAAACCAGGTCGACGACGTTACTTCTATGCGTTTTGAGTAGTAAATCTTAAATAGAAAATGGAGCAATCATAGGTTGCATAAGATGATGTAGAATTGTGTATTGAATTATACCATAATGAAATGGCTAGAACTCAAGAGGTTTCATCTCTAAAAAGACTTTCTCTTCCATACAAGATTCTAATCTCAACCTCACCCGGGCTTTATCAGCAGCCCAGATGGAATTGTAAATCAGGTCGTGTACTAAAAGTGTCGACACTTTAACTCTCCACTGAACAACCACGAATGTCAGTGAGCCACAATGCGCTGATGTCACTTTCATGGAAAGCCAGACCCATCATAATTCATACTTTTGCACTTGCAATTTTTTTCGGCCTTGTTATCAGAAGCTTAGTGGATAAGTCTCGAGACAATCAGTAAATTTTGATTTGCTTGTCTTGGAAGTCACGTTATCCCTGCAACTAACTGCCCCATTGGCCGTGTAGTAAATTCCATTGCTGGTGATGGCGAGAGTATAAGGCCCTGGATAGGAAGAGTCTTTTGAAGTTGAGGAAATGGAAATTCAATAACATTATAACGTCTCCTCATGTTATTGTGGTACAGTTTAACTATTATCGTCATCCGATCCGACCTAAAATGTCTTAAATGTGTACTCATCAATGGTATCGGCTAGATTTTGCTTTACCTTACTCTATCACGTATTTTCTTGCTATTTTCTACTAAAGCCTCCATCATTTTGTCACAATTTCAGATCCCTTTGAATCTGGCGCCACCATGTCCTCCGCTCCGGTCCACCCCTCTGAATTCGGTGAGGAGTCATCTTCTCCAGCCGTCTTAGTCCCCAAACCAGCTCTCTTCCCTGGGAAATTGGCCCGCTTACTTCCACAGCAGCCTCCACCCAAGCCGGGCCTCGTGAGAATAGGATGGCTGCAGAAATACTCAAAACGAGGCTACCAGCCCAGACTGGCTCTTCTGCTGGCAGACCGATTTGTCTACGCCAGCCGAGTGGCCAGCTCGCCGACTCTTTTTCTTAAGGTTGAAACTGTAGAAATTTATCCTAAGTTGCCCTAAAGATGTTGTATCATGGTCGAGGTGATGCTGCCCAGCCGCACAGGCTGTGGAGTCTTGTAGGGAAACCCATTTTAAGCTTGCCGAATTGGAGCTTGCCTTCAAGGGACATACTTCAGAGTAAAATTGCTCGAATTCCACCGACCAGCAAATATGAAATTGAGGACACCGGTTTCGTAGCCTGTTTGTAGTGTCGGACTGTATGTGAATGTTACAATAATATAAATATATTTATATATATTGAATGTCAGGAATACAGGCAAGAAGTTAACTTGGAACTATTTGGTATTGATGGATATACTTGAGGATAGAGAAGATGTTGAGTAACCTAGGCAAAGGAGACGACTCAACTGGCCTTTAGGGGATATGGTCCAAATTATGGTCACACTTTGTATCCGAACGACTTTAAATAAAGGTATCATCAACATAATCAGTTGTACCTTCGGCATTACGCAATGAAAGTGATGGCTTAAAAGGTATTTACTACATCTTGATGACAGAGGAAGGATATTACTGTCCAAATTTCTTGGAACTATCAGTGCTGACCTCTTGTCCTTACACTTATAAAGGCCTCAGAATCCCTGCAAAATTCAATAATTTTGTCTCCAAAAAGTATTTCTCCTCTAGGCTAGATTGGCCTAGGCTTCATCAGCACTACCAAAGGGATCAAAAACTGGATCCTGTGCTACGTGGCGGCACTCCAATATTCGGCTATACAGTCACAGGTCAGACGTGACTTTCAGAGCAAGTCAGGCCTCCTCTAAATCTCGTTTATTTTGGAATTGTTGATAAGGACAACTTGAGATGTATTCACCCAATTTCGTTTAAGCTAATGAAGGACTAATAGAAGAAGAATTTTCCCACAATGATATGAGTTGAGCTGACGTTTCCATTGAATTTTTACATATCTTTGCTTTCCCAAAAGTGGTTATT